GTGTGGTTTTTTTGGGCCACTTTGTCAAAAACTGAGTGTCCATAAGATTGTGGGCTAATGTGTATGCTCTCAATTCATTCCATCCATAATTGTGTTCATATTTAAGGACATGCTGTTTTTACTACTATATCTCTGTAGTATAACTTGCAATTGGGGATAAGGGGACCTTAAGTAGTGTTTTAATTTTTCAGGATTGGTTTTGGCTATTCTAGATCTTTTGTATTACTACATGGATTTTGAGGCTATTTTTTTTCAACTTCTGCTCATATTTTCTTTGGAATTTTGATGGGGATTGCATTGAATGTGTACATTGTTTTTGGTAAGATGGCCATTGTTACAACATCAATCCTACCAATCCATGATCACGGGAGATCTATCCATCTTCTGGTGTCTTCTTTAGTTTCTCTCTTCAGTCTCAGTTTTCATTGCACAGGTATTCCATTTCCTCTGTTAAATTTATTCCAAGTTTTTTTCCCTGAGGCTATTTGAGTGGAATTGTTTTCCTGATCTATTTCTCGGTATGAGTGTCATTGTGCACAGGAAGGCTACTGATTTTGTATCCTGCTCCTTTGCTGAATATGCTTATCAGCTATATGAGAATTCCAGTTGCTAAAAGTCGTTGGGTTTTTTCTTATTATATCATCTAGAAATGGTGATATTTTGATATCTTCCTTTTCCATTTATCTCTTTTTTTTCTTCCCTGATTGTTTTAGGTAGTAATTCAAGTACTGTGTTGTATAGGAATGGAGAGAATGTTCCTCGTTTGGGTAGAAATGTTTTGAGTTTTCCCTTAATTTTGTAGGTTTGAGCTGTGGGCTTATTGTATATTACCTTTACTATGTTAAGATATATCCCCTGCATTTCTAGGTTCTTCTAAACTTGTATCATGTAGGGATTTTGGATTTTGTCTAAGGCATTTTTTTTAATCTAATGGGATGCTCAGTCATGTGGTTTCTGTACTTGAGTCTGTTTGTGCTCCTTTTTAATTTTGAGAAAGGGTTTTGCACTGAATTTGAAGCTCACCAATCTGACTGGCCACTTGGCCCTTGTGATCTGCCTTTCTCTACCTTTTACCCTGGGCTTACAGATTCATGCTGCCACTCTCGATTCATATGTGGGTGTTGGGGATCCAATCTCATGTCCTTGTTTGCCTACTGAGCTAGCTTCCCAGCTCGGTATCTAAAAATACCAATCTCACATCTCAGAAAGAAAATTATAATTACAAGTTTAAGTGAAGACTGAAGGTAAGAGGAGGAAACACAGAGGATGTAGACAACTCTTGTCTGAGGTACTGTCCTACTGCTGAGAAGAGCCACCATGATCAAGGCAACATATAAAAAATTAATTAGGGGTTTGCTACAGTTCAGAGGGTTAATCCATTATCAACATGGTGAGGAGCATGATGGCAGACAGGCAGACATGGTGCTGGGGAAGTAGCTGAGAGCCGTATCCTGTTATCCAAGAGCAGGCCTAGTGTGGGCCTTTGAAACCTCAAAACCCACCCCAATGACACACTTCCTGCTCCACAAGGCCACACCCCCTAATCCTTCTAATCTCAAACAGTTTTACTCCTTGGTGACTAAGCATTCAAATATATGAGCCTGTGGGGGCCACGGTCATTCAAACTACCACACCTGCCATCTGGAGAGAAATCTTACAAGCAACAACAGGAGGCGGCTCAGGTAGCTATGACACAGGGCATACCAAGGTAGTTTGATGGCAAGGTATGCCGGTGGAAGCCCTGAAAAAGAACCAAGGTATCTAGAATGGTGGTTGTACAGAAATAAAATAGGCAAGATGAACAAGAAGCAAGACGAGGTCAGAAAGGAACATGGGAACCTCATCTGGCTCCCGTCTACCATCCAAAAAAAAAAAAAAAAAAATTCTGGCTGAGTTCTGAGAAAGAAAAACATAGGAGAACCTCTTCTACCCGTGATCAGTCTCAGAGTGTCCAAAGACTCTTCCAAGTGCTCAGTGATGCCACGAAAATTTTCACAGTAATACTGAGGCATCAGCTGCCCTTGCCACAGTGTGATTATCTTCTCTGACTGCATAATACAAATGTTGAATGATGGTAATCAATGAATTTTAATGAATATTAATACTGTAGTATAGGAAAAGTCCTAATATGGTTTCAGATTTCTTAACTAGCTTTTAAGAAACTCATTTTCTTTTATTTTAAATCTTCCATCTGCCATGGAAGATGAAGATTTTCTTAATGACCCTTTATTGGGAATGCCCTCACTCTCAAGGCTGAACTCTTTGACACTATAGACTATGGAAAGGCCGAGATCCAGGGTGAAGAAGGGACTTCTCCTGATCATCAAAGGCTAGGCTTTGCTGGTAAGCAACTGGATGATGGATGTATTTCCTCTGGTTACACTCAAAAGGAATCCACCCTTCATAGCATGTTGAGACTTGCTAAGTCTTGAGCCACTCACAAGAAGAATAAGTAGAAAACAAAGAAGGATAAACTGGATGCCCTGAATTACTGTAGAGTAGAAGAAAATGGAAAGTGCAGTTGCCTTCATCAAGAGCACCCTTTGAAGAATATGGTGCTGTGATTTTTATAAGCATCTATGTTGGCAGACACTAGTGTGGCAAGGGTTCTCTGGCTGATTCTCCTACAAACCAGGAGACAAGTAATACTATGTGAGTTAATAAAAAAGATAAGAAAAGGGGAAAAAAGAAAACTACTGTTTATTGGATTGTGATACAATATTAGAAGATTGTCTAACACTGTCACAGGCTTAGAAACTACACATTTGTGTGATGTCCCATTAGTCTTTATGATTTAACTCCAAGTGCATACAGCAACGGGATCACACGCCAAGCCAGATATAAAAATTAACATGTCTATTTTTAATCCAGATATTGGAATAATTAACAAAAATGTAAAGAAATGCCACTCCTTTTGATTTACATCCCAAGAAGTCTATTTTCTTAAACACGATATTTATGTAAATATGTAATGGTTACTGGCATTAAAAATATACAAATCTGAAAATGCTCTCTTTAATATTTTATATGGCAAACCAAATAGAAACAACGGTTCTTTAATAGTTTGAATGGCAGAAAAGGAGCCTGAGGCTACAGCAGGAAAGCTCAGCTCTTGCCTTATTTCCTGAAGGGAATGTGGCTTCCGAACTGACTAACCCAGGCAAGGTGTGTGTGAGGTAAGACTCAAGAAATAATTTTGTCTTAGCCACTTCATGCTGGTTAAATATTGCAATCCACAAACTTGAATATATATTCTCATCTGTTCTTTTTCCATAGCAGCACAGGGCCGATTTGCCCATCTAAGAGCAACAAGCCCTCTAACTGTACTTTCCTCTCCCCAACTCAGACAAAGCCTATTAAAAGAGCGGTCCTGCTTCCCAAACAAGAGTCTGCTCCAAACAGAACTCACATTTCAGTGAGTCAGAAGGAAACAGACAGATAGTCATCTCCCTGAAACCTGGCAGGCTTCCCACCAGGAGCCTGTGAGCTGCCCAGCTGTGTGTCAGGGTTAGCGATCAGCCGCCTCAGGTCTTACTAAGCACAACACACAAGGTCAGAACTGTCTGTGAGTAAAACTAAAGGAGGTGGGGGAGAGAACAGGATGCAACCTGGGGCTGTGAGCTTCCAGGGCACTGAATTTATTACAGTATTAGTCATGAGTTCTAGCATCTACTGAGTGTCAACTTGGTACTGTCTGGAGTCTAGCAGATCACAGAGTCTAGCCTATTTGGTAAGATCCAGGCCAGTAAGAGATTCTCAACACGAAAGGGTGAATGGCTCTTCAGGGGCAACAGCCAGGTTTGTTCTCTGGCCTCCATACAAATGCACCCATACAAGCACACGCAGCTCACACACAACCCTGCATACACATGCAAAAATACACACAAAAGAAGAATTCAAGTGTTCAGTTCGACCCACTGTTTAATAAACAGATAATCATTTGATTTTTACCAAGTAGTTACATCTGTCTTACCTGGAAGTGTCTCGCTTGCTCCATGGACCCAGAGAATCCTTCCTTGCCAAGGGGCGAATTCCCAAAACATTCTGAATGATGCGAGCAATAGCAATTAGATAAGCAGTTCTTTAGTTTATGAGACTTTTTGATTGCTGCACAGAAAGCAGTCGCTAGAGCAAGTCTAACGGCAATAGCGCGCAGGAACCTGTGGCTGAGCCTTTGCAGGAACGCTGGGTGTAGAGGCGATTAAAAGTAGACACTCTCTTTCTTGGATTTGGAGATGGAAGAGTCAGATAATACTGTCTTTCAGAGTCTGAAAGACTGGAAAACGGTGATGGCACAATCCAGAGAAAAAGTTGGGGAGTCTCTAGCAGCTCTTCCAACTTCTCACCTGTCCTGAAGTAAATCAAGTTGACTCAGAGATTCAACTCCTCATCACCTCAGAAAAGAACGACCGCCTCCCCTCTCTAACACACCCCACTGTGGTGCAAAAATAGTACTTCGGTGATAATCATAACTTGAGAGCAGTTCTTTCTGATGAGTTAGTGTAGAACCTGGTCATTCCGAGCTTATTTCTGTCCCTTTCTCCACCCACTCAGGAAAAACAGAAGGGCACGCACATAGCAGCCTAGGAGCGGTGTTCAGGGCTCCTGGCTCCCTGCTGAGCACCGTCGAGGGCTATGAGCTGATAGAACTGCACTGGGGGTCTGGCTAGGGGTTTCCTGTGGACAAGTGGAGGGGGGAGGGTACAACCCTGCATTGTTGGGTCGGGTGTGCTAGGACAGTCTGCTACAGAGCAGGAAAGGCCACCAGGCGGGCAGTCCCATCCGCACTGCCTACAGGATGCGAGGGCTGCGTGGGCGTAGCAGAATCGTGGCTAGCAGTGTGCAACCCTGGGAGAGCTGCAGGCACCGCGGTGCAGGGCTCCATGGGGCGTGGCAGGGCAGATCCGGAGTTTGCCCAAGCTGGAGGGGCGGGTAGGGGCGGGTCCTAACTCAGAAGCTGCAAGCAACTTTTCCTTGCTCTCATCCAGACCAGGAGAGAAGTCCTCGGGACAGCTTCTGGAAAGTCTTAACTTCTGGAAGCCTTCGACCAAGGAGGGTACCGTGTGCACCCCCAGAGCACCTTAGATTTCCCACAGCAGACCCAAAATGGAGCCGGGACAGGCAGGGGGCGCGCTTCTGCTGCGGCTGGTAACACTTGCTCAAGGTAAGTCTGAACTCTGATGCGCTTCCGAGGTGGGGGAGACCGGCAGTGGTCCAGGGACAGCAGGGAAGGATCCAGTGCAACTGGAGAGCCGGCGGCGGAGTCCGCTCTGCATCCGCGTGGACTCGGGATCCTGTCTACCTGGAGCCGCTTGGATAGACAGACAGACACACAGACGCGCGCGCGCGCACACACACACACACACACACACACACACACACACACACGTCCATATGAAGACGTGTTTCACCAGATCAAGCACCCTTCAAAGTCATCTTTTTAAGAGCTTTGGGTTTCGATGTTCTCACACTCAAACGTCCGAGGCCTTAGTAGTGTCCCGCAGATCGCGCGACCCACCTCCCAACTTCCTATAGGTTTTGCAGGTGCTGAGCTAGCCCGAATCAGGAATCCGGGATTTAGCGATGGACTGCAGCTTGCAGCTCCCAAAGGGTGGCTTTGCAGAAAACTCTTCCCGAGAGTCGCGCACAGTGCCCCCTGTTCTTTTTTCAGAAAGGTGCACTGGAGTTTCTTTACACAGGGGGCAGGAAAGCCAAACAATCACTTCTTAAATATTAGGCAGAGGGGAATTCTTCCTTCCTGCCTGCCTTCCTCTTATTGTTGTAATGTCGTCCTTCAAAGAAAGTAAACTTAAACCAGTTCTATCCGTTTTCTTCATCTCAGACACCACAAAGGGATTAGCTGAGACCAGGGCTAGACTGCCTTGCCCGCCCGACTTCCATTGCCTTAAGTGAGGGAAGAGGGCTGGGGAGCCAGTTGAGCCGCTGGGAAACTCAGGAGAATTTTCCACCTTTAACCACAGCCTGGGGTGAGTCTAAGATGAAGGCTTTTATGGTAGTTGAGGGGAGAAGGAAGCAATTGTATGTGGACTCTAAACAGCTAACAGAGCAACGTAATGGTCACTAGTGGTCAATGACTTATTACAAAGGAAAACATTCTCTAAACTGTGCTTTTCTGGGGCTAATCTTTCTTTAAGATGAAGGAAAACTAGTCCAGGTTAGCCTTGTGGCATTTCCTGTGTGTCAGAGAGAAGAGAAAACTATGCAGCCGCCCTGATGCTCTAGCACATACAGGGCACCATTAGACAGTAGGATGCTACCTTGTGCCCCAGGCTTCAATGTGCTCTGTCCTAGGGACACACAATTGATTGAAGGGGGCATCAACTCTAGTCTAGGTGTTTAAGACAGTTGCACTGGATCCTGGAATTCCCTCTCTGGGGCTCTTCTAAGAGGTACTAGAAACACAAACCCAGTTTTTTTCATCTCCCCTTTTTAATTGTTGCCATTATTCAGAGAGGTCTCTGAAGCACGGCATCGTTTTCTACTGGTGAAAAGTTGAGGCTTGTTCTGGGAGGAGCGCTGGGAAGGACCTTGATGGAATGTGTTGCCGAAAGGCACAAAGTCAGGTACCTGGGTTTTCTTCTGTAGTTAGTTAACAAGGATGACTCAGTATCCGCAAGCAGGTGGGGTTTATATGACATCTGTAAAAAGTACTCCAGGTGTTTATTCCTTCCTTTATTTCCTTTATTTGTATTCTCAAGGAACACATTTTCTCTCTATTTCAATCATCTAATTAAATGAAATCACATAATAAAGTTTTGCCACTTGAGAAAGCAATTGAGATCCTTAGGCAGGTAGCCTGATTTTCAATGTTTTGGGTGTCTAAGGTTGACATTTAGTTGAAAGCTCTAGGCCTGGCCACCAGTACTTTAAATTTTTGTTTTTTCCCTAGCAATATAATCATTTTCAACATTACTTAGCACTAAACAGACACATATATTATTCTTTATAGATCAGGGGCGTGCACAATTGTGATGCAAATATATACAAAGCTAAAACTGTGAAGGCATGCATGACTGTGTGTTTCTACTTCTTATATCCTCTACAGCACATGGGCGAACCACATTAGAAGTAAGCTCATCTTCGATCTCTTTTTAACACTTAGCTTCAAATTTCTTTTCCATAACCCTTCTCACAGATGGATAAGAGGAACAATGGCTCGGCTTTGTTCTATGTTTATCACTTTTCATTGTTCATGGGCAGGCTGAAGATGGAAAAGAGAGATCATAAGACACACAGTCTGTGAATTAAGTACACATCCAGAGAGGAAATCAATTGTAATCTTAACATGAATGAAGAAATCACACATTCTTTAGTGGGCTTCCTTTTAACTTTTGGTTTTCTCATGAAATGCTCTCGTCCCTGGCTTCTGTTCTCTTTTTCTCCTCTCCTCTCTTTTGCTTCATCTCACCTCCTTCAGAGGCTCACTTTCTACCTATTGCTAGATGGTGTTTGCAGAGCTCTATCCGGGATCCCTGTCTTCACTGTAAACGTGCTTCTGGACCCACAGGATCTATCTCGTCTCACTCATCTCCCGAGTTCAGAACCGCCAAATTTCCACACCTCTGTGTCCTATTAACACGCCAGACTCAATATTCCCTAAGCTGAAGCCACTGTACCCATCTTCCAGGATCTCTCCTTCACAGTTCACTGTGGCTTACCGGCTGTCTGCCATGGCAGCAAGGAGCCTGGGAATGTGTTTGCAAGGCATTCAGTCACATTCACAAGCTAGACTTCGCCAGTTTTTTTCCTTCTAATCGATGCAACTTCTGCCACCACTAGTTCAAACCCTCATCTTCTTGTGGGAGAACATCTGTAACTTGGAAACTGGCTTTTCCATTTTGTTTCTTCTCTTCCCAGTTTATTGTTTTCATTGTCACAATGCTATCTTTCTGAGACACTTATCTGGGTCTAATAATCTACACCCTTACTTCAAACACTTGATGTTTCCCACCACATCTGATATAGGGTAAAGTCCAAATGTCTTGGCATTCATAAAAGTCCTCTACCATCTGGCCATAGTTTCCCTATCCAGCTGTTTTTTTTCTATACTGCCCAATCCCACACATAAGAACACACAGACACTCCACTAATGTACACATTTCAAGCCTTATAAATATACCCAAAGGGGTCGCGACCCACAGGTTGAGAACCTCTGTACTAGGTGACTTCTGGGGAAAGAATCTTCTTCATTCTTCAGACAATATGATTTTGTCAGACTCAGATGTGAGGGTCAGAGACATTTCAACCATCTTGCAACCATGGTGCAAGCCAGTTAGCAGAGAGATGAAACCAAATGTACCAGGGGTAGCATCATACAAAGACTGAGAGACAGTTGGTGCCTGGCATTGTTTTTCAATTCTTAAATCACCAAAAGGAAATTCTACTCAACTTCTTCAAAACTTTATATAATTTAAAACTTAGTTATGTTTTCAGCTAAGCAACAATTGTTATGTGTTTTATGGCATAAAAATAAGTATTTTTTATACAGTTAATGAGCGACACCAAACAAAATGTTGAGTTTAGAGAAAGAAATAGCACGGTGACATCAAAATTTCAAGGCTCCAGAGAAGCCTTCATAGGAACAGAAAGGAGTCATTAGCGTTTAGATCTTCTGTGGAGGACTGTCGAGGTCATGGGGTCCAGTCCATCACTTTCCATGGATGGAAAGATGAGAGAGACAGCAAGATTACTGGAAAGAGGAGCTGAGTTTAGTTCCTAGGTCGGAGAGCAGTCTTGACACAACGGAAGCAGGTCATAAAGCAGAGATGAAAGGCAAGAGGTCAATGGTCATCTGGCCTTAAGACTTCAACTATGCTGGAGCCGGAGTCGCATCTGGAGCGTGGGAGAAAGCTTTGAAGTTACCTGAGCAAGGAAGTGAAGTGATATGCTCAGATTTGCTCATTGCCAGAGCACACTAGCAGCCAGGAGGAGGATAAGGGATAGAGACTAGGCAGAAGATGCCAGGTATGGTCTGGGAGAGAACCAGATTCAGTGTTAGTTAGTTCAGGAGAGGGAAAATGATAATTTAAAAAAGACCTGAGAGAATAGCAGAAGAAAAAGAGAGTAAAGTAAAATGTAAATGCTGTGAAGGAAAAAGATGAGAGGATTTGGTGGTGGACTTAATTCTGTCATGGGAATAAAGCAGATTCATAGAATCATGATATGTAACAAACAATGTCCAGCCATTTATCGATCTAAGGAATGCTAAAAGAGGCAAGTTGTAGGGAAGAGATGGTCAGTGTGGAGAGGTTGGGTTAGAGACATCCGGGGTACCCTCTAGTTAGTGGATGGTGTTTTATCAGTCAAGTGAGTGACTTAGGGAGAGAGATGGGAGGCATTGCATCTGGAGACAATGGAGCACGTGATCTTGATGAGCAGAAGTGAGGAGTAAGTGAAATGAGGTCCTACAGTGAGGGGCACTTGGTAGAAATGGGGAGGAGAGAGTACAGAGAAGGACAGGACAGGAAACATTGCTTTAAGTATCTAAACAAAGATGGAAATCCCTTGCACGTAACTTATGATAGATCTCAGATTTTCTAATCATAATCCTTCATGGTGCATGTATAATTTATCCGTGGACATCAAACACCCACCATCCAAGAGTGACGGAGAATAGTTTTAGTGTCTGTGGAAAGAATCTTAGAAGAGAGAAAGGAGGGAAAGGGGAAAACCTTGTATTTCTTCTTAATTTGTATGTATGTGATTTGCATATGTGTGTACATGTACAAGTATGTATGTGCTTGCCCATATGTACATGTGTGGAAGCCAGATGCCTATGTTGAGTGTCTTCATCTTCTGCTGCTGAGCTGAACTCCTCTCTCTCTCTCTCTCTCTCTCTCTCTCTCTCTCTCTCTCT